AAAGCTGATCAAGCCAAGCCTGTCCCAGAGCTCCAACAGGCAACAAAGAAAGGATGATGCAGGATCAGGATTACCGAGTTACTCAAGATATTAACCCATGAGTAGCCTTCTGACTAGTAGTTACAAAGCAGGTCTTCCAGACCTTGCACCCAATGGTGGAGATTTCTGCTGTTCAGCAAATAACATATACACTTAAGGAAAAAGGCACAGAGAAAGTACCAAAAGCTTTTTAGTCTGTAATGTCATTATTTCACACTCACCATAGAGAGCAGGCCAGGAGCAGAGTGCTTCAGCTTGAAGTTTTCATCTGCAAAAGGACCCCTGTATATACTGGCTACTCCAGTGCCATCTCCCTGCACGAGAGAAGTGCCCAGTCAGCCACAGTGTTTGTTCTGTAGCAACTGCTGCAGAACAATTCAATTTAAAAATTAAATTTAAAAACCCCAAGCAAGAGGAAGGGGTCAAACTCAGCCCAAGGTGGATGCTGTACTGCCATTTATATACACCAGCAGTGAACACAGTCAGTGTCTCATTTCTGAACAGGAACAGCAACTGGTTTCTAACTACACAGTTCATTGTTCACCATCCATATGTTGGCAAAAACCCATGGGGGTGGTAAGTGTTAAATGCAAGCCTCCCAGAGTGAGGTGGAGGCTACAGATTGCTTGGTACAGACCCACTTGGACTTGACAGGGAAAAGGGAGGGGACACAGAAGTATAGGCTGGTATGTCAAGGAAAGCAGAAGTGGTTGCATGGAAAATGTCAGCTCAAGGTGGGTTTACGTATTTCACCTTATTTTCTGTGACTTTACTGGAAAAAGGGAAGCAATCTCCCTGTTCTGCAGTTTCTAAAACATAGATTTTCTAGTTTTTGCTGTACTTTCCACCAAGTCCAAACATCTTGTACTTAACTGTAGGCCCAAGCACTCAGATCTCAAGACACTTATAGATGAAAGCAGCGTGGGCTGTGACTGCTGCAGGTTGTAAGTTCTGACAGACCACAAGTTCAGAACACTCCTGTATGATGCCAAAAGGACTGAGCAGGGACCCTTCCATAGAATGGCCTTAAAAATGCTGCAGTGAGGAGTGCTCCAGGGAAAGCTGTAGAAGCAGTGCAATCAGGTATCTCTGGCATGAGCACTTAAATTTACTATTCTGACAGTTAATTCCATTTCTCTGTTGATTTTCTCTTTCTGTGTCGCTTTGGCCCCATTTCTTCTGCCTTGCTGCAACCCCTCTCCCTTCCTTGCCTTTTTGCTTAACACACCTGATCTTTATTAGGCCAAACTTAATAGTTAACAAAAAATGCCAGTAATACACCACATGCAGCACCACATCTTTTGCTCTGCCTGCCCAGCTCTTGCTTCTTTTCCTCCCGTTCTTTGTGGCTTACTTAAACTGTTGGCTCTGACATAGGAGCTTACACCATGACTCAGGGGTCAGTGTGACTGTGCTCGCTCCCCAAATGGCTTTGTAATAAATATACTGTATAAATACCAAATATTGGACCAGTCTGTAAAGCTTGTTGAGCTGCAGGGGAAGTAATAAAGCCCACTGGGACATCTGAGCAGTGTCACAATTAGCAACTACCTCAGAGTCTGGTGTGGCTGAGCCACCCACTGTGTGGTCAGTTCTCTCAGTGACTTTCATACAACCAAGTTTTATATTAAAAAAGTCTTTATCAGTCCCCTCATATTTTGAAACACTTCCAGAAATGAAGTAATTTTACTGGGTCCCAGGACAGCGAAGAGATCCTGTGGCCCTTTAGCCTTCCCCATGTACTCTGCTTATACCCAAGCCAGACACAACCACCACTGCGGGCACAGACCCTTTTCTATTTCGAGACAATTCAGCAACAAAAAGTTAGTTTTGATTTAAAAGACCTCTTGTACTAGGCACTTGGTTCTGTACTTAGGGTCTTTCTACAAAGCTAATAAAAATCCAAGGCTTTGTTGTTTGGGAGAGGACAACAGAAGAGGGAAGGAAAACTGTTTAAAAGCCTCCAGCACTATTGCCAGGCTATTGCAGAGAGGAAATATTTTGGGGAAAAGAAAGTATGTTCACCCAAAGTTTCAGATTTCTTTTCAAGTACATTATTGTCTGCTGCAGTAAGATGGCAGCAATGCTGTGAGGACACCTCCAGTTACTGCTGCACACCTCAAAAAAGGAAGAGATCCCATAAATCAGCATGGACCCTCGGAAACAGCTGCATGTTATACAATGTAGGAAAAGGACAAAAGGGATGCAGGAGTACATACATTTACGAAGTCACCTCCTTGGATCATGAAATCCTTTATTACCCTAAAGAAGTAAAACAGCACTTAGTTCTTGGCAGACAAAGGCCTCAGAAAGCTCAGTGTAAGGAAAAAAGGAGTTCTGCCTCGCTGTGCAACAGAAGTTAACAGCCTGTGAGTGCTGCAGCCTGAAATCTGCAACAAATCAGTGGTCATTTGGGACCCACTGCTGTTAGACCAGGGACAGTGATTAGGTGACAGATGCCAGACAATGATCTCTGGCATAGCACACCAGGAACAGGGGACTCCTCCCAGTGACCCCAGCATACACACCTGACACACCCCCAGATCCCCCAAAGCCACAGGAGGAGGACACTAGCCATGACCCACTAATGCCTCGAGGCAGGTCCCAAAACCCCATCTGGCTCAGAATGCTATTCAGTGCCTAAAAAGTAGATGAATTACCTGTGGAAAGTGCTTCCTTTATAACCTATAGGGACACCATCTTTCCTGTAAGGAAGTAAAAAGGAAAATCCTTTCAACTTACTGGATATCCCAACACAAAACCCCCACAAGAATTCGGAGTCCCAAAGGTTGCCCTATACATTGGCAGCTGCCTTGAAATACAATCAAGAGCTGCAGCCTCTCAGCTGCTGCTGTTGGAGGCAAAAGGAAGCCTCAAATGGGCTCTGCACAAGAAATGACTTGGTACCCTGCAACACCCACACCATCATCTTCACAGGATCCCACTGCAATGTGCAGTGGGTTTTGCAGATAGGGCTTTTTAGAGCCACCTGGGCACGAAAAGGGAAAACCTGCCACCTCCGTGACTCACAGAGCCCCTCACAATTTCCTCGGAGCAGATTTCTGTAACTCTTTCGTTTTGTACTGGTACAACATGCAAAACTTCCAGGAGAGCCCCTCTTCTACCTCACCCAGCCCTGTTTCTCCAGTGGGCCACTTAAAAGGACACCAGAACCCACTCACCTGAATTCACCTGTACAAAACTGCCTGGAAAACAAAAAAGAGAGCAGAGTGTGAGGCACGTGTGAACTCCGAGGGCACTGAGGGCTGCACCGACTGGCAGATAGGACTTTCCTCACTGCATCAGGGATGTCCCCAGTAAAACAGGAACTGGCTGCTCCTCTCCACTGCCTTTTCAAAACATATTCTGTGCCCTCTCTGGTGAGGAGGTCAGAGGTTTAACACCAAGGTTGTAAGAAATGGTGAACGTGGGGTAGGCACCGTGCTTGACAGAGAACAGGGTACGTCCATCTCTCTGATGGAAATGGGATTCCAAACGGTGCATCCCTTAGTTGACTGCAGGAGAACTGGGTGGCCAGGAGACCTCCATGGCACAAGGCACTGCCTGTTCTACGTGCACCTGGCACATCAGAGGCTCCACAGAGGAAGGGGGGACTGGAGTCCTTCCCCTTGCAGCCAGATGGGCTCCCCTGGGGGACCAAGACACCGCACAGCATCTCTGATAAAGAGAGAGACGCAAAGCAGGTGCACCAGGTCGGGGAGGGAGGGCAGGTAAATCACTCTGCCACCAAAAAAAAACATTCCTGCACCGAAAAGCCTTCGCAGCCCCGGCCCGGGCCGCGCCGCAGGAACGGGCAGCTGCTCCTCACCTGAAGTTCTCCGCCGTTTTGGGCACAACGTCGGCGAACAGCTCGATCTTCATGCGGCCGACCTCCTGGGGGAACACAGGGGCCGGGTGAGCCCTCGGGGCCCCCTCGCACACACCCGCCCCCCGACACCCCCGTCTGCCCCCGCGGTCCCCCCCGACCTGCCCGCCGATGGTGACATCGAAGAAAACCACCGGGTTGTTGGGGTTCGCCGCCAGCGCCGACATCGCGGCCGCCTCCGCAGGAAGGGGAAGAAGCGGGGGAAGCGGAATCGACAGGCGGGGGGCGGGACGGGCCCTGGCCGTATCCGGGGTGTCCGGGATGTCCAGGGTGTCCGGGATGCCCGGACAGTGTCTGGGGTGTCCAGGGCTGTCCAGGGTGTCTGGACGGTGTCTGGGCCGTGTCCAGGGTGTCCGGGGTGTCCGGAATGTCCGGGATGTCCAGGATGTCCGGGATCTCCGGGCAGTGTCCGGGGTGTCCAGGGCTGTCCGGGGTGTCTGGACGGTGTCCGGGCGGTGTCCAGGGTGTCCCGGGATGTCCGAGCAGTGTCCAGGGCTGTCCGGGATGTCTAGACGGTGTCCGGCCCGTTTCCAGGGTGTCCCGGGATGTCCGGGGTGTCCAGGATGTTCGGGATGTCCAGAGTGTCCAGGGTGTCCGGGATGTTCAGGATGTCTGGGGTATCGGGAATGTCCGGGGTGTCCCGGAATGTTCGGGGTGTCCGGGCGGTGTCCGGGTGGTGTCCAGGGTGTCTGGAGTGTCCGGGGGTGTCCGGTCCCCATCCCATAGGGGCGGTTTGGGGTCTCCAGAGCAGAGCACTGACCCCCAGGACCGTGCTCTGTCCCCAGCCCCTGGTGCTGGTCCAGCTGGGGAGCCCTGCCCGCTCCTCTGCCTGCCCACTTGTTGGGCACACGCCGGCTGAACATGAGCTCAGGTGTGCCCAGATGGGTAAGGAGGCCAATGGCACCTGGCTTCTACCAGCCACAGAGTGGCCAGTGGGACGAGGACAGTGACCATCCCCCCTGTGCTGGGCACTGTTGAGGTGCCTGGAATCCTGGGGTCACTTCTGGGCCCTGCCAAACCTCCCCTGCAAAGAATCAGCTGAAATGCTCGGGTTTTGGCAAAACCATTTAACCATTTATTGGGGGATCAACGGGAGAAACAGAGCCGGGAGCATCTGGCACAGGGTGTCCTGGTGCAGCCCTGGCCGTGGTCTCCACCAGCAAGGCGCTGGGTTTTGGTGGCCGGGGTGCATGGGGATGAGGACGAGGAAGATCTTCTGCAAGCTCTGGGCTGCTGGGGTGTGTGCCAGGGTTGCCTTGGGGGCTCAGTGGTGCTGGGGATGTCCCCAGCTCTGTGGCAGGAGAAGCGTGCCGGACACTCTGTCGTCATCCCGGAGCCTGTTCTCCACATCCCTGAAGGCTTCCAGGGGTCACGCTGCATCACCAGAGCTCTCTGCAGGGGGGGCAAAGCATGGGGAGGGGGTGAGCGTTACCTTCTCCTCTGTGGGGACCTTGGGCACCGGGGACCCCGAACACCCGTGAGGTGCGGCACCAGGGGACGTGGGGCACCAGGCACCCCAAGCACCCAAGGGATCCCAAGCACCCATTGTCCCAGAGTGCCTGTGCCCAGGAGCCCCCTCCCTGTGCCTGTACCTTGGCACGGGATGAGCTGTACCGTCTTTCACGCAGGTTCCGCTCCGCGATGCCACCGACGGCTGGGCCGTTGCAGTGGCCGTGCCACCCCATGCTGCTGGGACACCCCAGCACAGTCAAGTGACCGCTGGTGGGCTCCGTCTTGGGATACCAGTGATGCTGGTGGCACTGGCTGCTGCAGTGCGTGGGGATGGGGGCTTGGCAGATGTCGTGCTGGTTCTTGCTGCTGGTGTCCCCAGCCGTCTGGGCAATGGCCTTCTGGAAGCCACCCTGGCCAGTGGGGATGAAGGCACCTTTCTCCGTGCCAGGGAAGATCTCGACTCTGCTAGAATCCTTACGGGATGCCCTCAGGTCCTCCTGGCTGAGCTGGTAGTAGTGGGTGGCCTCAAAGCGGGACTTCACCTCCTGCATGGAGATGAAGGGATGGTGGAGGGCAGCGCTGGGTGAGATCCGCTCGCGCGAGTCCCAGGTGAGCATCCTCTTGACCAGCTCCACCATCGCATACAGGTCACAGCGCTTGGCCAGCTCCTCCTGGTCGGGATCAGACACCAGGCAGAGGTTCACTGCCGCTAACTGATCCAGCGAGGAAAAGACATGCACCCTCCTCTCCATTGGCTTTGCCATCACCTTCCCCGGTGGTTTGAGCTGCCAGGTACCGATGGAACATGGGACCTGTCGGAAGAAGGACTGTGTCTTCTGGGCAGCGCAGAGCAGCTCGGCCCGGGGCAGTCCCAAGGTGGAGCAGATGTAGCGCACTTGGTCGTACTCGTTGTTGCCGGGGTAGAGCGGCCAACCCAAGTGAAGCTCGGCCATCACGCAGCCCAAAGACCAGACATCCACCTTCTCGCAGAAGGGCAACCCCAGCAAGATCTCCGGTGCCCGGTAGAAGCGGGTTTGGATGTAGGGCTTCTGGACACGGTAGACCTCGGGGAGGAGGATGGCCGAGCCGAAGTCAATGAGCTTGATGCGGAACGGGTAGCGCGAGTGGTCCACCAGCATGATGTTCTCCGGCTTGAGGTCAGCGTGGATGATGGAGAGCTCCTTCAGCTTGACCAGCGCCGCCAGCACCTGTGCCGTGATGGTACGGATGTGCCGGACGGGCAGCGGCGAGAAGTTGTTCTGCTTTTGGAAATCAAAGAGGTTCTGCTGCAGCAGCTCGAAGACCAGGTAGGTCCAGACCGTGTCGCTGAAGGACTCGAGGAAACGGACGACGTGCGACTCTTCCGCGTCCCCCTCCCGCAAGGCCTGGAGCAGCCTCAGCTCGTTCCTCACCGTTTGGCCATTGTAATCGTGGTTCCTCAGGATCTTGATGGCCACCATCTCCCCGGTGCTCCTGCGCTGGCCCTGGGTCACCTGCCCAAAGGTCCCCTTCCCGACCGTGGCCACCAGGTCGTAGCACTCGGCACCTACCACCAGTGTCACCATGGTGGGTCAGCTCCTCGCCAGGGGCTCAGGATCCTACCGTTCAGTGCCCAGCAGGGACTGGGGACACCCAACTGTCCCAACTGTCCCAACCCGGTCCCAGAACACTGTGGGTTCCACCTCCATGGCTGCACCTTCTGTCGATGATGTCACAGCAGAACCAGCCTGCGCGGAGGAGCCCCCTGAAACCCAGCGCTGGACACCCCGAATCCAGCCCTGCCTTCCCAAAATCCATCCACAAACCCAAAACCAAACCCTGGTCCCCCCAAAATGGATCCAAACCCCCCCCAACCCATCCCAGCCCCCTGAAAACCCATTTCCAGCCTCCTAAACCCTTTCCCTGGTCCTCTGAAACCCATCCAAGTCCCCCATGACCCATATGCAGCCCCCCAAAACCCATTTTCCAGTCCTCCAAACCCAATCCCTTGTCCCCCAAGCCCATCCAAGCCCCCCAAAACCTCTCCCTAGTCTCCCAAAACCCATCCGAACCCCACAATATCCATCCCCCCCTCCCAAGTTCTGTCTCCAGCCCAACATAAACCATCCCCAGCCCTCCTGAAATCCATCTCTGTTCCCTTAAAACACAGCCTAGCTCCCCCCCCCGCCATTTCCAGCCCCAGAAAACCCCTCCCTGTTCCCCTGAACCCTATGTCCAAACCCCATAGCCATTCTCATGACTTTTTTGGACATTAATATTTATTCTGGCCAAGCCAAGAGCGCACCCCCCACACTTTCCCTGCTTAACAGTAACACCTGGAAAATAGGCCAGGCAAGAATAGGGAGGGGTAGGCAAGTCAAGGCAGAGGATGGGTATGGAAGGCAATGCAAGGAAGGGAGAGGTGGGCAGAGAGAGGCAAGGCAAGGCAAAGGACGGCCAGGAAGAGTTAGGCAAGGCAAGGCAAGGCAGGGGAGGGGTAGGCAAGGCAATGGAAGTCAAACAAGGGCAGGTAAAGCAAGGAAAGGCCAGGCAAGAAAGGGGCAGTTAAGTAAAGGTGATATGAAAGGTAATGCAAGGGAGGTGTAGGAAGGAAGGAAAACAGCTAGGCCCAGTGTTTCAGGTGCAGAGGACAGGCTACCCAGGGGACATAAAGACCAGCCCCAGCTTTCTGTTCTGGTCCCTCTGGTGTAGAAAATCCAAAGTGTATACAGTTTTTGAGGATTGGCTCCAAATTTCTCGGGTGGGGTTCAGGAAGTGAATCAGAGTGTCTTTCCTTGGGAAGTAAAGGATGTAGTCCCACTGTTTGTGGTACCATGGGGAGCTAAACAGCAGCAAGACAGTTCTGGCCAGCCCCCTTTGTGTAGGATCAATTCTTGGATGTTGGCAATACTGGAGATGGTATCCGACTTTTGGGTCTGGACTCCTGAAAGTGTGTCCCAGTGCTTTTACATGGGGATGAAGGCAGGTAATCCCAGTGCTTCAGGTGCAGATCAGAGGCTGCAGCAGCCAGGAGCAGCTTTCTGTCCTGGGACATTTTGTGGAGGAGCAATCGAGTGGGCATCTGAATTTTGGAGTTAACCCTCTGCAAAGGGATCACAGAGCTCTTCATAAAAACACGTAGTCCTGGGGCTTGTGCTGCAAAGAATTGGGTGCCCAGGGAATGAAAGGGACAGCAACAGTTTTTCTGTCTGGCACCTTTGGTGTGGGAGCAACCTCCCAACGCCCTCAGTTTGTCAGGTGGTCTTCTGCAATGTTTGGCAGTCTGTTTGCTATGGGCAAGGTAAGCAGCTCTCCCCAGTGTGGGTGTGCAGATGCCTTGGGGAGTTAATGCCCAGTTACAGTGTCCTGGCACTTCTGTATAGGAACAATCCCTGGATATTTTCTGTTTTGGAGAGGGGGGTCACATTTCTGCTGAGATGGGGTCTTCATTCCTCTCTTTGGCAAGGAAATCACTTTTGGATTCCCACGTTGGGCACTTTAGAGAGTGCCCTGGTGAGTTGAAGTGCTTTCCCTAGTATACAGTGCTATCAGTGCTATAGAGTGGGAATGTAAAAGCCAGGCTGTTGAGCTTTTTGTCCTGGTCCATTTAGTGTCTGAGCAGTTATTGGTGGGGTTCAGTTTTGGATCCCGACTCTGTGAGACTGAAGGATTACGATGGCACAGAGAGCCGAAGAAGCAGATACCGGGGTGTGTGCTGCAGTTCAGCGGGTGCAGCTGAAGGTGGAGCCAGCAACAGCTTTCTCGCCTGGCACTTTTGCGAGCTCTGTTTTTACCGGATGTTTTCAGTTCCGTAGCTGGATTCTGCGAGAGGGGAAAAAAAATTATGAGTACATATACTTGGGAAGGAGCTTGTGTTGCCCCTCGAGCGCGGCGCAAATAAGAGTTTGCACGTGGAAGGTCAGCCAAACCTTTCGGTCCCGACACGGTTTATTTGAGGGCAGTGAGGTTTTGAACTTGGCCGGTTTAGCCCTGGGACATTGACTTTTGCAAGTCCACACCGCCATCGTGCGGTGGTTTGATGAGCGGTGAAAGCCGAGCGCTTTTTTTGTGCTGGGACCATTAGTTAGTGTGTAGGGGTTGAGTTTTGGATGCTGGCTCCTCGAGACTGAAAGAACGTGATCCTGCACACACGCGGGAAGGAAGGAGAATCGCCTCCTTGTTGGCTCTGCAGTTTCTGGGCTTCAAAAGAGGAGTGAATCCCAGCACTGGCTTTTTCTTCTAGAACCTTTTCTAGGGGACCAGCTGCTGAACGGTGTTAGTTTTGTAACTGTGAGGCAGAAGGTGTGTGAGGGGACACAGAGCTGAGCACACAGACCCGTGCCTGTCGTGCAGTTTATAAGCTGCAAAAGCAAAGTGAAGGCCAGAGCTGACTTTCTGTTCCTTTTTGTCAAAGGAGGCAAGTCAAATGTGGAGACAGTAACAGCTTGCTGAGCAGGCACCTTTTGTGACCAATATCTACACTTGACACAGTTTAGGTACAGGATCTCTGCAAGAGTGAAAGAATGTGAGAGTACCTACAGTTTGAAAGGAAAGTTCATAGCCCCAGGGCACATGGTGTTGATACCCTTCGAAGTGACTGTGAAGCCAATTAACTGTTTTCTCCCGGTTTTTTTCTGATTAAGGTTATGGAGGAAAAATGTAAAGGGTGCATGCAGCTGAAAAAACAAAGCATAATATCAATGTGTGTTGTGCAGTTTAAGGCTGTATGGGAAATGTGATGCCCAGAACTGTCATTTTTTTTTCTAGGACTGTTTTCTAGAGGCAGCAGATTCTGAAAGGCTGTCTGTGAGAGTAGAGAATGCAACATCCACCTGAGAAGAAACTTCCATAGGCCATTTCCATTTGAAACCCTTAACTGGCACCAGAATCAAGGGGCAATCCTCATCCTCACTGGCCACACCTGGGGCTGCCCCACCCCCTTATCACCCTCATTGTTCACACCTGGGGCTGCCCCAGGGGAGAGGTGACTCCGCCCAGTGCTCCCAGTTCCCTCCCAGTATCACTCCTTGACTCCCCCCCATTGCTCACAGTTTCCTCCTGCTCCTCCCAGTATCATTCCTTGACTCCTCTCAGTATTCCCAGTTCCCTCCCACTGCTTCCAGTATCACTCCTTGACTCTCCCCTGTATTCCCAGTTCTCTCCTAGAGCTCACAATTCCCTCCCTCTGCTCCCAGCATCACTCCTTGACTCCCCCCAGTGCTCCCAGTTCCCTCCTGCTGCTCCCAGCATCACTCCTTGACTCCAAAATTGAATATGGATGAAGATTCCTCCCAGACAAAAGGGGCCATGACAGAAAGGGTCTGAGGGAAAGGGGGAAGCCCCAAGCTTAGAGATGGCACTTCTGGTCAGCTCAAATTCTATTTTTAGCTTGCCTCCTCCCCAGTTTTGTCTCAATTGTGCCCACCTAATTCTTCAGCCGCTGCTCCCTGGGAGGGGGTGGCCCTCATCCATGGTGGCACAGCTGACCTGGAGAAGATGAGGGGGAATAAACACCAGCTGAAGGCCTCTGTGAGCTGTTTTGGGACGTGGCAGCACTTTTGAACATCACATTGATGCCTTTGGTGATGCAGCACTAAATATCAGTTACCCCTAAACCAACTCTGTGTCTGTTCTCCCAAGGTCTCACACCTGCCTCATCCTCCATGTCAGATCCTACTTTATTTTCTAAATAAATACCCTGCAGCCACCAGATTTCTTGGTTTGAATCCCAGGCTTTCTCCTGGCATGTGTTATTTTCTTCCTAGAAGCCACAAGCCATGGTAAACAAACATTTACAGGTGCTGGGAACACAGGCTTCTCCTTGGCTGACTTATCTGTCTGGGAAGAGCCATAAATTCTGGAGCTTCAGGGCTGAAGTCAGATAGGGAAAAAGCTCTTGGGTAGGCGTTTGCTTGTAGAGTTCCTTGTATTCCCCCTAAAGCACATCCTTCTTGGGATTCGTTATGGATGCCTGGTGATCCTGGTCCTATGACATGGATGGTCCCCCTTGGAGACCAGGGGGAGAAGGAGGAGCTTTACCCCTCTGTGTGCTCTGACCCAGGCTGGGTGTCCAGCTCTGCTTCGGGACAGTGCCCAAATCTTGCCCCTCCTGCTGCCTCAGTTTCCCCCTTTCACCTACAAGTTGTTTTTCCTGCATTTCAGTGTAAGTTGCTCAGGACAGGGACTGTACCCCACCAAGGACATCCCTCTGTTACAGCATCACTCCCCTCTGCCTTTAGGGAGGGTCCCCTTCAGACCCCCAGGGGTGGGGGGCTGCAGTGAGGGGCTTTGGGGTGTTCCCAGGGATGAGCTGAGATGGGAATGGGGTCAACAGCAAGGGGGGCAGAGAGATCTGGCCTAGGGCTGCAGACAAGGCTGGTCAGGGATGATACACCCTGATTTTGGGGGGCTTTAGGGTGCTTTCTTTCCCATAAAAGAGGAAAGGGAGGACAGAAATGAATGCAGAGGATTCTCCCCCTTCGAGCAGCAGCTGTGCAAAATCTCACCCTGGGGAGGCAAATCATGGGGGTGGGCAAAAGGCTTTTGCAGCCCCCTTTCTCCACCAGCCTGCCCAGCTCGGGGGCATCTCTTCCACCCAGGTGGGCTTCGTCCCTCGCCCCTTCCCTCCCCGGGCGCAGGAGGGGAGCGAGGGGAGGGGAAGCCGGCGGGGTGTTTAGGGGGATTGTCATGGTTACCTCCCTGGCAAAACAA